TTTACATAAGCTTCCCCCGTTGCGGTATCGCGCCTCGGCCGGGACTCGACCATTGCGTTTCTGGGCCCTGCTATAAGGTCCCTCGTAAAAATAAAACCCTGTAGGCGAAACGTTTGTCTGTTTGACTCAATCTTGCACCATTTGGGCTTTAGAATGTTAGAGTGACGAAAACACGCCGTAAGTGACCACGCTGGCGTCCAATTGTAAAATGTCGAGGAAGAACCCTCCAAAAACAGCTCATTCTAAACCAGGGACTGCCCTCGGATTTGCCGTATCTTTAACTGCATCACAGCAAGATGTGGATATATTTTAAAAATGGCATAAATTAAAGTTTTAGGACTGTTTGACAAACAATACAAGCTAGGTCATTTTTTTTTTAAAAAAAAGTGTTTTCTGTAGCAAAGCAGAAGGGTGGAGTATAGTCACGGTGTTGCACCGTTACAGTCTTTTCCCATGGCCAAGGAACAAATCTTCAGGGCCGAAGGCCCCCCGGAAACGTTAGTGTACTCAGATATGGAAAGTGACTTATAGGAGACCAAGCTAGGCCCGGCCCCTGCCGAACGGAGTTGAAGCGATGTGAAGCTGGCAACTTTGTTTTGCGGCAGGGCGGGCCTAGCATGTTGAGCATCCGCACCAAGTGATAATCACATAATCAGATCAGGGAGCTATTTGTGCACTGAACCAGTTTTTTTTTTTTTTCAAATCAGGTGCAATTCAGGCCGATATGGCTCACAGACCAATCAAATACCTTCTGCTGTTGCACGTCTTGTTACTGATAGGTCCTTCTGACCTGAAGAACCTTCACAGCGTTATGGCAAGTAAAATCACTTTTACGACACCTATGCATGTGAAAGGGTTGATTTTGCACAGTAAAATACAGAATGTGCTAACTTAACCGAAACTGCTTTCAGCGTTTTGGCATTATCTTTTCAACGGGAGGACATTGAGCGTAAACAAGTGATCATTCCCTAAAATAATTTTCGTTAAGAAGGATGTTGGGTGAAATGTACTTTGTTAAGAAAATATTTAAACGCACAAGGAGTGGTTGAGCACTTTCGGTGGTAGGGCAACCAGGGCTAGCAAAATAAATTAAATTGAATTATGTTCCCTCGATAATTTTGCCCTTCATAGGGGCAAAATCTAAAAGGGCAGCTTTAAAATTAGAACCACATTCCTGAGCAAACTGAAATCTACGGATCAAAACCCGGGCACTTTTAAAGGCTAAATCAAAATAATTTTGCCCTCGGGCCAAAAAACAAAAATTCAATTCGGGGGTGGGTAGGTTCTGGAGGGTC